AGAGAAGCCAGATTTTGTGAGTTTTCACTTTGTTGTATTACTTTGGACCTGGGGAAATGCTTTATAGGATTACAAAATGAAAGCAAATCAAAGCAGAGATAAATCTTTGAATATAGAAAAGCTTTATCTTGTTCCTTGGGGACTGAAAAGAAATAAAAGTCAAAGTAAAATGAATCCACTTGTTAGGGGTTGTGTAGACAGGCCAGCCATGTGGAAGGGCTTTCTCATGGCCTTCAGAGCACCCTAATTCAAATACTTATCCCTAGAGGCTGCAGCTCAAGGGGTCAAGCAACTATAAGCAAATTTAAACTTGTATTTATTAGTATTTGTGAACCATGTTTATTGTAGATAATGTTCATATGACCTATCTGAAATATATGCGTCTGTATATGTACAGATAGTCAATTATGCCAGTTACTAGGAAGGAAGTTTGTCTGCTTAAAAAAAGATATAAATATGAAACAGAACAACCATGTGGGAAATCTGTGACAATAAATTAAAGTTGACAGCCTTGATATGAACACGATAGACATTTTTATCACTGTCCATTGAAAATTCCATGGGCGACAAAGCAGTCAGTCTCCCCAGCCGTTTGGTTCTAAATTCCAATTTCCAAAAGTATTTTACAAAGTGATGTTGCCTACTCTGATCAGTCACTTATGGTGTCAAGATGGGAACCATGGCTCAGGCTCTGAAACCCCATACTGTTCAAGCACACATAGGCTGTTTTGTGTCTTTGACCATGCCGTTGTATCTCTGAATATCAGTTTTCTTATTATTGTTTCAGGGTAGACTCCTCTCTGTGCCAGAATTTGGCTTGCAGGATCTTGCGTAGACAACCATAGAAGCTGTGGCTTCCTGTGTGTGATGGCCACCGTGGGTCCAGAAGACAGCCTTTTGCAGCTCTTCCCCCCATCAGTTGGCTCTCCTATGAGTTTTTATCACTGTTTCTGTGATGTTCTTCGAGCCTTGGTTGGGGTGGGAGGCTTGGTCCAAATGTCCCATGGAGGGTTGAGCCCCCAGTCTCTGGTGCGGGAGAATTATCTGTATTCTGTCAATCATATTTTAATAAAACACTGATTGGCCAGGCAGGCAGTAAAGGCAGGAAAGCCAGACAGGAAGTAGAGGTGGAGCAAAGAGACTGGGAGTATTCTAGGAAGCTCCCTCTGCATTTCCTGCCCAGACCACTGAAGAAGCAACATGTAAGCTGCCCCCACTGGAAAAGGTAGCGAGCCATTATGGCTAACGTAGATAAGAATAATGGGTTAAGATAAGTCATTAGAACTAATAAGTAGCCAGAGCTAAGGGCCAATCAGTTTATAACCTAATGTAGACTCCGTGTGATTTTTCTTTGTTGCTTGCCGGCTGTGGGGTACTGGGAGGGACAGATACCCCAAGCAAGCTGGCCCTCATGTTACAAGTCTCTTATTTGCAACGCACTGGCTCGTTATGCATTGCTGCATTGGTGGCTGCCATTGCCAAAAGGAGCTACTCTGATCAAGGTAGACAGTAGTCTGTATCTGTGGGTTTAAGCACAAATATTTAAAAGGCAATTCTAAAACCATGACCATTTAGCAAATTAACAATTGCAGGTTTTACCCCAGGGTCTGTGGCTTCCCCAGTCGTGGTTTTGGTTTTTTGACCAGGATGACAGTACCAGTCATGAAATTCACTCCTGTGTAGCAGGCCCCAGATCCAATCAGCGAGTAGACTGTTCCCCAAACAGTTGTGCCATTATCTTACCTGGCAGGCTGGTGCCACAGCATGCAGACTCCAGAACTAGATAAGACCATTGGTTTCTTTTTTCTCCTATCTTGGGAAACTTGCTAGTTGTCTTGGTTCCAGACAACTTTTCTATCCTAAACTGTGCATCCTCTTAATTCTCTTTGAGCTGGTGTGTTAGAGATGTTGAAGAATCAGGAGACCGAGATACTGGCATTTAACCTAAGGATTAAGAGATCCAAATTCTCCATTTTGCTGGGAAGTGTACACATTTCTATGCACCCTCAGGTAGGAAAAACGGGAGGAATGCACACATTGTATTTGCTCTTTCTTCATGAATGATGCAGGTAATTTATGTTCCCCATCAAATACCAGGCTTAGAATTGGGGATTTGACAGAATTAGGTTTGTACCACAGTAAATTTTGGAGGAATCTGATTCTGAGTAACTGAGTAGACACTGTGCCTCCAGAGTGAAGGTGAAACTAAGGCCCCTTGCTGTTGTTATGATTCCTGCTTGCTGCTCTCACATGGAATACTTGAAATACAAACCTAAGTAAGAAGCAAGTGGTCCCTTGAAGCTTGTGTTTTATGAAACACAGATGTCAACCCTGATACCCATAGCCACTCCAGGGCTAATTCTCTCTAGGATCCCTGAGCAATTTATTGGACAAGTCTGGAGATTTGCAAAATGGATTTTATTCTCCTCATATTTTGGTTCTTAATCCCCCTTTATGCCCAACACATCACATTTCAATTTGCTATTTCAGAACCTTTAAATAAATCATGAGAGCTTAGTGGAAGTCAAAATCAAATCAAATAAAACGGGCTAACTGCTCAGTTGCTGAGTTTGACTTTAGTCATTACAGGGTTAGGAGAAATCATGGAGCAATTTATAACCAACTAGCCTGTTCAGTGAGAGCCGCCTCTATCAGGCAAACCCTCCCAGGCATTCTCAACCCATCTCAAATGACACACGGAGAAAACATGTGTTCTGCAACAAGGAGCTACATGAGAACAATTCAGAGTGTAAGCCCGGATCGATAGCCAATGCACATCCCATTGCATCTTGAATAGAAGAAGGGGCACTGTGGTGGGCGTTCACAGCCAACCGCAAAACTCAGCGGAGCTAAGCTCTGCCGCCAGGAGGCAGCGCGGCTTTCTACAGAGAACTAGAGCCAAGAGCTGGGAAGTGGGAGAAACCCTGTTTCCCTAACATCACCCTCTCCAGAGTATTTAAGGCTCACAAATATCTCTAGAACTTTCTATTTCCTCCCTGGCTCTTTGTGTTACCGGCTATGCTGCATCTTATCTTCTCCTGCCATGGCCATACCAAACTCCCTAAAACTTGTCACTCTATTCTCTTTGCGTGGGTGCATATACGCAGGCGTGCATGTGTACATGCGCATGCGTGTGTGTTTCGTTGGTTGAAAGCCTGAGGCTACCCTCACTTATCTTTCTCAATTCTTCTCCACCTGCTCTCTCACTGAACCTGATAGCCTCCAGTTTGGCTAGGCTGACTGGCTAGAGAGCCACAGGCATCCCCTTAGTCTCCATCTCCTCAGTTTGAATATTACAGACACACACCTTTACCCTCAGCTTTTCTACCTGGATTGTGGAGCTTGAACCCAGGTCCTTATACTTGTGTGGTGAGCACTTTACCAACTTAGCATCTCCCGAGCCCTCCTCTTCCCTTCAGGTCATTCTTCCATCCTTGTTTCAGCTGTTGGGTTTTGCCCTTGCCTGTCTTTACTTTGAGAGGCTAAAGGCCCATTTCGGGGAGTGTTGGACAGATTTTGCTGCAATAACAAACAATCCCACAGTCCATGGCTTCTGAAAACAAACATCACCCTGTAGGTCAGCTGTGACGCGGTTGCATTCTGCCTGAACTTTGAAGGCCCCACTGGACTCCCAAAACTTTGGATAAATTCATCACCTCATGTGGCTTTCATAGACCTGGTTGGAGGAGATGTGGCCATTTGGGGCATCTGTCATGAAGGACAGCAGGATGCAGAATTGTGTCATCTTGGCTTGGTGTGATTCCACGTGGCTACATCCCATTGGTCAAGGTGCATCATATGGCCAAGTCTAACGCCAATGGGTAGGGAAATCCAGTCTCTTTGGGGTTATGGACCAAGGACATGAATACCAACTGGAAGGTAATAGAATCTACTCTAAGTAGGAAGAAATTAAAAATAGGGTCGTCTAGGTTGTTTTCAGAAAGAAAAAGAAATTAGTTCTCTGACTTTTAGTATGCTAGAAATAATCTGCCCTTATTCCGTCCTGCAACTTTAGAGCCTTGACATCTCTGGAGAAGGTAGGACTGTAAGGAGTGAGTCGTCACCATGGGAATTCATGGGAATTCATGGCCCAACAACCGTATCACAGGTACTTCACACAACCGAGCCACCAGTACTCATTCTGGAAAAATACACACACACACACACACACACACACACACACACACACACCAGTTTGCAAACATCTGTTTCTTTTTTCCATCACTCTGCTTGGTGCTCCTTCTTTTTTGCTGACCTTGGCATCCAAATGACATTTGCTGTTACTTGAGTTACAGTCATTCTCCAAAAACAAAGATCTGTTGCTTCGTTAACAGTGTGTTACAGATGTGTGAAGGTGCATTAGGAGTTTGAAGTTGGGCATGATAGCATATCCCTATCATCTCGGCACTTGGGAGGCTGAGAAAGGAGGATCGCCACAAATCCACAGCTCTCCTGGGAGCACACACACACACACACACACACACACACACACACACACACACACAATGTAGCAAGTACCAGACCAACTATGGCTGCAGAAAAAGATATTTTTAGAAATGATTTACTTGTATGGGTCTTAACCATGCATATGCGTGTGTATCAGTGTATGGGTATGTGAACATGGATGGAAGTGCCTGTGGAGGCCAGAGGGGGCAGCAGATAGACTGGAGCTGGAGTCACAGGCCACTGTGAAAGACCCCATGTAGGTGTTAGAACACTAACCTCTGCAAGAGCAGTAAGTGCTCTTAACCACGGATACATCTCTCTAGCCTGCATAGAAAGATCTTGTCTTGAGAAACAAAACCAAAACGAATGCACAGAAACCAGCTTCTGTGCTGTCCCTGCAGTTCTTGGAGTGAACGGGTTTGTGCCTTGTTGGATAATAGATGCTTTCCGGTGTGGAGATTCCAGCCAGTCAAAAAATTAAGTGGGTGGTTCGGTGTTTTGTCTGTAAACAGAGGCAAGCCTGGCTTGTTCTAATGTTCTTTTTCTTTTTAAACTCTAGGTCGGTGGATGCAGTGATTTGACCAGCCACCTGGAAAGTTCCCGTATATGAAAAGTAAGTGTGTCTGGGGGGAAAAAAAACATAGTTCATTGAGTCCTTTAATATAAAACAACTTTTAAGCTTACAAAAATAAAAAGAGGAACTGTGCTGCGTTCGAAACTAGACTGGGAGGAAAAAGAAATGCGATTCTGAAGAATTTCCTTCAGGTGTAACTAGAGCCTAGGAAAATCGAAGATGATTGGCAGTCAGACACGACAGTGTGTTTTATTAATAAAAAGGAAAGGGTGCAAAACTATCAAATTGGGAGTGAACATTTGTAGACACGAGGCATTTTCTCACAGACCTTTCCAATAATGCACTGTCTACTACTTACCTAATGTATTGTTAGAGTTAGTATAGAAAAAGAATTTTTTTATGTTTACTAAGGGAATTGATAATTCAACATTATCTTAATAAAACAGACATAGAGTTATAAAATTAAATATAGCCACTATTACATGATGGGTAAAAATCAGTAAAATTTGCCTTTGGTATGTGTGCGGGAGTGCAGGCCGCACATGTCATGCACATGTCACTGCCTACATGTGGTGGGGTGAGGACGAGCTCGGATGGGGATGCTCACTGTCTCACAGACTCCTGTGGTTTCTCCTGCCTCTTCCTATCTCCCTGCAGCAGGATACTGGGATGGCAGATGTGTTTAGGTTTTACTTGGCTCCTGGGGACCCATTCCCAGGCCATCGTGTTTATAAGGCAAACGCTTTACCCTCGGAGCCATCTCTCCAGCTCCTGAAATTTGCCTTTCTAGTGGATATTAGACAAACATTCTCCCCAACTGCCTCTTGCCTACTGTGAGACTGTGCTTGTGTGGAATGCAATGGCACTGTATCCACCTAAGGGTTGGAAGTTGCATTTTGACAAAGAGAGTGAAACAGTATTTGAATTCTTGCTCATTATGAACTCTATGGTCCTTGTTCTGAGAGACAAAGGGAGGAAGTTTTCATGTGAGGACTTTAAGACTACTGCCTGGATCGGGCTGTATTTTGGCAATTTTACCAGTCATCTATTACTCCAATAATGTTGTATAACATAGACCTCTTCAATCCCAGTGGCTCACATCACAAACATTTACTTTTCTTATTCATATATCTGAGGATTGGCTGGGATTCAGCTGCTCTTGGCTCAGCTCCTCTGGGCATGGCTCCCAGCTCCAAGTCTACTTTGGGCTTGCTTCATAGATTTCCTCCAGGAATTAGCACCACCTGGGGCACATCTACTTGCGGTGATGGCAGAAGCACAGGAGGTTAAGTCTCACCATGGAAGCGCATTTAAAACTTCAGTTATATTACTTTTACATCTGTCTTTCAGAGTGAGTTCTCTGGGCAAGCCAAACATCATTGGGATGAAGGAAAACATGGACTCGTTGAGAGCTATTGCAAAGTCCCATGATGAGAGCCGTGGATGGGTTATTTTGAAGCAAAGAGGGAATAGAGAGTAGGAAATAATGCAAGTGACCAAAGTTATGTGATTGGTATTGAGGGTAGTGGGGAGGGACTGTGGATGTAGTTTAGTTGATAGAGCCCTTGCCTAGCATGCGCTAAGCATTGAGCTTGCCCCTCAGTGTCAAATAAGCCAGATGTGGCAGTACACACCTGCAACCCTAGCATTGGGGAAGAGAGGAGGGTTAAGGTTATATTCATCTCTGTAGTGAATTGCAGACCAATGGAGGCTATTGGGACCCACATATAATAATAATTATGTTAATGATGATGCAAGCAGTATGTATTAGAAACACTTCTAATATGTGAACCAAGGTGGGAGAATGCAGATGTGGCTAACTGGGCATTTTTGTTGTTGGGCTGAAGCTAAATGATTAAGTCATGTGATGTTCTCCAAGAGTTAGAAAGTCTGAGAGGACTAGCGCTAGCTGGCCTGTCTGAAGGCAATGCTGCTAGACCGATGAGATCATACATTGGAAAAAAAAGCTTTATTTGGAAGACAGAGCCTTGGCCAACAACTAGGTAAGTGGTAGGTGGGTGCATCCGTCTCTGGATCGGCAGTGAGTGAGACCAGGAAGGACAGAGCAGGCTCCAAACCCTCTGAGGTGCCTGGTCAAGAGGAACACCCCAAGTCTATGTCTTTCTCACTTCTATGTTTCTATGATGTCAGGGCTACTTCCTTCCCCAAAACCTCCTCAGTGGCTAAACATCACAGTGCTGCATGCGACGATCCGTGACAGCCTCGGAAAGTTCTTTTGGTCGCTCTGGCAGGTGACTAATGACTGAAGGGAGGCTGGAACTCAGCCTGAGCTGGGTTTGTCGTCACTAAGACCAGCCATGGAAGCCTGGTCCGCAATACCTGGCGGCATGCCTGGGCTGCAGAGTGTATGTCAGGAAACACCAGATACCTCATGTCTGGTGGTACAGGCCCTTAATCATAACACAGTAGTAGGCAGAGCTCCAGGTATTTGAGGACAGCCTTTTCTACACAGTGAGTTCCAGGACAGTCAGCACTTCATACGTTGTGGAACCCTGACTCCAAAATAAACAAACAAGACCAAACAGATCACAGCACCTTCAGAAGTTACCTGCGTGGGAGTCATGCATCACCTAAACCCAGCATCTTTCACATACAGTGAGAAGGATACCAGGATAATTTACTGTACAAATAGCCTGAGTAAAAGAAAAAAAATCCACATAAGTCAGGTAGGGTAGCTCAACTCTGTAATTCTAGCACTTGGAAGGCTGGGGCAGGAAAATCATGTGTTAGAAGTAACCTTGGCTACATAGCCTTTGTCTCAAAAAACTACCCACTGCCACTGCTGAGGCTGTGAGCATAGGAAAGCTGCCCCCACTACTCACCTGTCTTGTAGGGCAAGGGAGGGAGAGAGATCATTGCCCCCCCATCAACACCAGGGGCAGGTGGGAGAGCTGGCCCTGTGCCCCACCAGCTACAACACTTGGGAGAGCACGCCCTGGACCTCACCCGGGCAGCACAGTAGAGCCGATCCTGTTAGTACAGGTATGGGTGAGCCAGCCCTGATGTGAGTATGGAACCTGATGTGAGTATGGAACCTGATGTGAGTATGGAAGAGCTGTCTTGTGATGCCTTGGGCTGGGGAGAGATGCCCCTCCCCCCATCAATGTCTGAGGCAGGTGGGCGAGCTGGCTCTGAAGTCATAATAGTGGGAGAACTGGCACTGCCCTTCATTAGCTGTGGCAGTCGGGAGAGCAGGTCCTGCACCTCACCTGGGCAATACAGTAGAGCTGGCCCTGAAGATGTAGGTGTGAGAGAAACAATCCTGAGCATGCGAAAGCCCAAGAACTGGCCCCACCCCTTGCTCACTGCTGCAGGGGTGAACAATCCAGGGCAATGCTAGAGAGCCCACCAACTGGTGGCAAAGACAGTGGAGAGCTGGTGGGCTGACCAATCCTGCAACGACCCAGTCCCAGAAGCAGGGTTATGTGTTGGCTCACCCCAACATCCACCCTATGTGATCTACTGACCTGCTGGAGCACAGGGTGGGGGAGGGGAGTATATGTGGGGATGTTGGTTCTGTGAATCCAGGGTTACAGGATCTCTAAGACACAGGGTAGCAATGGGATGTCCAGGAAGAGTTCCATTGAGAGTCCAGTATTGATGGTGTAACAGAGAACAGGGGCCTCCAATCAGACCAATTGTTCTTTGCAATAAATGCCTGCATGTAAAAATATGGATAGCCGGGTGGTGGTGGCACATGCCTTTAATCCCAGCACTCGGGAAGCAGATGCAGGCAGATCTCTGTGAGTTTGAGGCCAGCCTGGTCTACAAGAGCTAGTTCCAGGACAGGCTCCAAAACTACAGAGAAACCCTGTCTCAAAACAAAATAAAATAAAACAAAGCAAAACCAAAACAAAACAAAATGTATGGATAAAGGGGTTTACTGTGTGACTCACCATGTCACACTGCAGCTTCCATGATGAGATTTTCTCCTTCTTCCCCCTCCCTTCCTCTTAAATTTTATTTTGTTTTACTTTGGGATGGGGAGGGAGATGGTTGGGATTGAGAGGCATGATGTGAAAGACACAAAGAATGAATGAATGAATGAACAGAACTGAATGCAACCACAAGCATCAGATCGTATTTTCATCCCACAGTAGAATTGACTATTTGGCCAAAGTAAATGGCATTCTTCTTCAAATTTATTTTTTTTTCTGTTCTATGTTCTGTTTTGTAATAATAAAATAACAACTCAAAAAGAACAAAACAAAACAACAAAAAAACTACCCATCTACCAAACCATAACAACCACAATACCCAGCAGGCATCATTTAATGAGTGGTAGCTTGAAGGAAATAAACGCCCCACACATCATAAAAGCTCTAGTATATTTACTTGTGTATGCGTGTTGTGTGTGGGTGTACATGTGTGCAGGTCCGTGTGCATAGTACACAGATATGTGGAGACCACGCTCAACCATGGCGTCATCTTCCTAGCAGTCATTCACCGTGTGTTTTGAGACAGCGTCTCTCACTGGGACCTGGGCTTTCTGGAGTAACAGGTATAGCCCACTAGCCTTTTCATATGTTTTGTCTTAAAATATGGGCTCTGGGGACCAAATTCAGTCCCTTACACTTACATAGTAAGCACTGTACTGACTAGGTTATATCCTCAGTTCTGTTTTTTTTTTAAATTTGCTTTTCAGAATTCAATTTCATATTCTATAGACACTGCTAGCCTCAGACAGTGCTGCCAGAAACAGAGTGGTACCTGATTTAAAAGGCGAAAATTTCTTGGATGCTCCCAGCCAAGGAAGTCTGCTTACAAAATCCTTACAAAATGGTGGGAGGTCTACCTCCCTGCTCAAGGTGGACAGGTATTCCTACCTCCGCCACCACTTCCCAGGCCCCACCACAGGACTACCCCAGCCTCATCTGGCCAGATGCTTGCTCCAGGGAGAAGGAAGTGTTAGTCATTGCTTGGATCCCGTGGTATTCAGCATAATGGGTTGTAAGCTGTCTATCCTCAATAAACGAATAATGAATACGTCTGAAGTCAATCTATGTTCTTGGGGCATA